GCAGAATGTGGCTGCGTGGGTTGTCATGGGGTGCCTCGGTACTCCCATGTTACACCACTCCTTTGTGGTCTGCATTGGCTCCCGGTTGATTTCTGAGTGCAATTCAAGGTGCTGGTGATCACATTTAAAGCCCTACGTGGCCTAGGACCAGAGTATTTGCGAGACCACCTCCTGCCACCGGTCGCCTTCCATCGCCCGGTTCGCTCCCACAGAGTTGGCCTCCTCAGGGTACCTTCGGCTAGACAATGTTGACTGGTGACCCGTAGGGGGAGAGTCTTCTCTGTGGGAGCCCCTACCCTCTGGAATATGTTACCTCTGGAACTCCGGATAATCCCCGATATCCGAACCTTTTGCTGGGCCTTGAAGATCTGGCTCTTCCAACGGGTGGGCCTGGGTTGACTCTAAACTGATTTTGTAGCTTTTTAAATTCTTAAATCTTAAATTTGAATTGGCATTCCCATGTTTAACCTTATTTATTGGATATTCTGTTTTAATTTGTCTTTTATCTTTTGTATTCTCTGTTTCTTATTGTTCTTTATTGAAAAAGTTTTCAAATACAAATTTTTCCCCCTTTTTTTCCCCTCTCCCTCCCCCTCCCTAACCCCCCCTCCCCACCCATCCCCCCCTGTGACTTCTTCATAACAAAAAAAAAAACCTAATTCATAACAGATTACTTACTCCCTCCTCTAGATATTGACCTTTACTTACTAAAAATATTATTAATATTATAACATCCCCCTTTATCCATACATATCAAAAAAGAGAAAAGAAAGGAAAAAAAAAGACATTATACTATGACATTATAAAATAACTTCTCCACTTTAAAACTATACGATAAGTCCTACTTTAACATTTAATCTTCTATATATATTACTATAACATTCCAAAGCGGCCTTCCCCATAAAATCTAGTTTAACATTTATTCCACTCTATCCATTTCCTCCACTCCCCTAAATATAACACTTAAAAATCCCTTTTCTTAGACTAATCAATCTACTAAATAGCTTATTCACCCACTATCATGCAAAATTGCCATACACAACATTTCTTAACATCTTTGATTCACTGCCCACACTTCTTAAAAATATATGTCTATATTTTCCATTATATCTAAATAAAAAAAAAGAAAAGACAATGACTTTAAATTTATAATCCATATAGTATCTTCTTTGAGGTCTTTCCACTGGATTGGTAGAACCAACATCCATAATCGGGTAACATAGCTTACTGGTGCAACAGTTTATTCAGGATCTTCAATCATATCTGCCCCCATCAGTAGTAAATATCTTCTTATATGTATAAAAGTAAAAACAACCACCCGAGTAACATTATAATTATATTCCATATAGTAATAATTGTGGGTTTCATCAGGATTATTAATTCCCATCATCGTAGTGGGTAACAACCCGATCTTCTGCATGCCCCAGCATAATTCTCTTGCCTTGTGATTCAAGATAATATAATATGTTTATCAACACAAAAAGAAATTCCAAAATGGATAATTCAAATCCATCAGTTTAAGGCTCGTTTCATGTCCCCAGATTACGGCCATGCAGAGATCTGCCACAAACCTCAGGATGATATTAACCAATACGTCGCCTCTTCTGTGTTTACACATAATCGTTCATATTTTAAAATCACTGGCTTCACTGTTGCCTGATTAGAAATTTCTGTTTTTATGCCACCTATTTCTTTTTTTCTTTTCTTTTTGTGGGTTTGGTTTCCATCCTGGTTCCCTTTCTATAAAGTGTGTATCATCTGGTCGGTTTTTATTCTGCTTTGTAGATTGGTCTTGTTGGTTTTGCTTTTGTATCTCATATTTCTTTTTTATCCCTTGTATATCCCCTAATTGGTTTCCATGTTTATCCTTGCCTTGATAAGTCATCACATTAAGATTAGATGCCTCTTCTCTCAAATTTGTAGATAGTCCAGCTGGGGTATCCAATAAATCCAAAGGCAATTCATCTGGTACAGTCTCTGTAATTCGATATTTTACCTTTATTTCCGGCTCCTTCTGCTTATCCTGTATTATACCTGGAGATGTTAAGTTCATTTTCAACCTATTTTGATAAAATTCTTCCGCTCTTTCAACAGTATTTAGCTGATATCTTTCTCCTTGGTATCTAAATATAATACCCACTGGGGCGTCCCACCTGTAGGAGATATTTCTCTTTTTTAACTCATTCACCAGAAAACCAAATTTCTTCCTTTCCATCAATATCTTAGGTGGGAGTTCCTTGTAAATCCAAATCTTTCTTCCATACAATTGCAAATTAGAATTGAAGGAGTTTTGAACGATATTATTCCTAATTTCCTTATCTGTAAAATAAATCACCACATCTCTAGGCCATTGCCTTTGCTTAGCAATCCAGGAGTTGATTCGATAAACTCTGTCGATCCTACAAAACACTTCGTCAGGTTGAACCTTTAGAATCCCAGCTAGAAATTCAGAAGATATTTTCCTTAAATCATCTCTATTATTTTCCTGCAAACCTCTTAATCTTATCGCATATTCTGTAAAATTATATTGTACCATTAAAATCTCTTTTTCAATCTTCTGTTGCAGATTTTCTGCATTACCATACTTTTGATCAGCATCCATTTTAGGTTTTTCTTCTAAGCTATTATCCTGAGTGTTTGTCAAATCATTTTCAATTTTTTGAATTCTATTGTCCAATTTATCTTGAATTTCTTCCATTTTAGACTCTAGTACATTAGTATTTGTGTCCAACTGTTTCATAAATCCTGTAAAACCATTAACCACTTTTGAGAGTTTTTTCTCCAAAAAATCAAACTTAGATTTCACCAATTCTTTAATTTCCTGCTTAAATTTTTCAAATTGCTGATTCACAATCTCCTCCCTTCTTTCAATCTCCTCTATAAAAAATTCTATTATATTAAAGTCAGGTTTCTGAGACTGAAGAATTAAGACTTGTTCCTTTAAGTTGTTGGTGGGGGGATCCCCCCCCTTCTTGTTTATCTGACTTTATGAGTCTCAGTGCCATGTTTCCGCCCAGGCAGGCTTTGTTAAAAAAAAAAGCAAGAAAGAAAAAAAAAAAAAAGGGACTTCTTTCCAATCAACAACAATATCAGGTCTCCAAGGGAAAAAAAAAGAGAAAAAGACACAGGAGCAAAGTTTTGTCTACAAATGTAGCCAGTGGTATTTATTCCGCTACATTGTAGTAATAGAAAACAGAAAGACTTTCCCTTTCAGCCTCTCCTCCAGCCAACGCCATTTTAAAAGGCTTCTTTTTTTTTTCCTCTTTCTTTTCCTCCTCTCTCTTAAGTAATTTTTTTTTTTAAAAAAAAATCAGTAAAATACTTGCGGTTCAATATTACAGGTCCAGCTCACATTTTCTTTGAGTAGTCTGTTAAATTTGCAGGCTTGCTTTTGACGCCTGGCTCTGCATCAGCAGAGGTCTCCCAAAGCCCGGAGCGGCGGCTGGGGATACGGGGCATCTCATCCGCTCCGTCCCAAAAGTAAAAAAAAAAACTTTTGGGACTCCGCAGAGAGTTCTACCCACCCCTGCCGGCTCTATCTCCGTTTCCTCATGGAAATGGAGTTTTTTCGAGCCGCCATTCCGTTGTGAAGGCAGCTCTAACAGGCGATGGAAGCTGACGATCCCAAAGGAACGTCTGGCAGCGGCAAACAGCAACCCGGAAGTCTCTGTTTCTTATTGTTGTGAGCTGCCCTGAGTCCTTCGGGAGAAGGGCGGCATGCAAATCCAATAAATCAATAAATCAATAAATCAATAATCTGTATTTTCATTGTTATTTTGTAGTTTTTATACATTGGTGTGTGTGTGTGTGTGTGTGTGTGTGTGTGTGTGTGTACAAACACATACATATATACAACATCAAAATAAAAACATATACTGTATGTCAGTTGCCCAGAGTCACCCTGCATGAGACAGGCAGCAAAAAAATTTAATAAATAAAATTATAAGATGCTGCAGGTAAAAAAGGCCAGAATTCTTGAATGTTTCTAAAACTGTAAACTCTCTGAACTGAACCTAGAATAGTAGAAGTCCTTGATTTTTCTGACTGCTTAGAGTTAAAATAGCTGGCATTAATTCCCAGTTGATTCTATTTTTAGAGCCTTGGTAGTACAGGGGTTTAAGGCACCCTGTTATTAAGCTTATTAAGACCAGCTGCCTGCAATTACTGCAGGGTTCGAATCTCGCCAAGGCTCAAGGTTGACTCAGCCTTCCATCCTTTCTAAGGTAGGTGAAATGAGGACCCAGTTTGTGGGGGCAATAAGCTGACTTTGTATAAATATACAAAAGGATGAAGGCTATTGCTGAGCACATTGTAAGCCGCCCTGAGTCTTCGGAGAAGGGCGGCATATAAATCAAATTAAAAAAAAAAAAAAAAAGTTTAGCTTCTCCAGGAACCCTTTGGGGTGACAATAACAAACTCTTTGTAAGAATAGAATTGATAAGAAACATTCCATCTTACTGCATGATATGTGAACTCTATCGGGTTAAACTATATCCATTCCATTAAGAAAAAAAGTATGTGTGTTTTTGTGGGTCTGGATCTGGGTGTGATTGTATTTTTATTGGTCAACAACCAAAATAAAGTTCTATTAGTTTTCAGTAGATGTCATAGAAAGTTGGCTTTTGATAACAACTTAAAAAATTAGAGTTTTATGTTAAGATTAAGATAAATTTGCCACTAACTGGAGATACTTTCTTTTTAATCTTTCTGACAATAACTTAACATTTTTTATAGAAAGGTGCCAACAGAAATTGATTCAATACCTAAAAGCATCTCTGAACATTCTTAATTGCTTAGTGCAGGAGTGTCAAAATGGCGGCCTGTGGGTCGGATGTGTCACGCGCAGGTCACGCTCACCCCAACTCCGCAAAGGGAAAAAACATCATGTTACGTCACGTGACAGCAACGTGACACTGCGAATTTGACACCTGTGACAGTGAGATTTCCACGATTTACCACATCTTGAAAAAATGATCATTACCTCATTTATTTTTCTGCAGAATGGTCCAACAGTTTGCAGTTGATTTTGAGAAGAGAATTGAAGGGTCAGGAGACCAAGTGGATACACTAGAACTCTCAGGTGGAGCCCGAATAAATCGCATTTTTCATGAGAGATTCCCCTTTGAGTTAGTCAAGGTAAAGTGCTAAAAACTATTCTCTTTAGTGGAATGTATATATGATTTTCAAATATGTTGTTCACCAAGATTGAATCTGGATTTCATGCTGTTTGATTTTAGCTAACCTTGATAACAAACCCATTTCAATGTTATTCTGTGCATAGAAAGAAGAATTTATTTTTGTTGGAAATGTTTTGGAAACATCCTGGCAGTAAGAATGTCAACAAAATATGTATGTTTGTCTTTCTGTTAAAGTCTGAGTATGATGCAGAGGCATTTGTCTATATTAAGAGGTACATGAGTGGAAGCAGGGGTGGATTCTACTTACCTTTACTACTGGTTTGCAACTGGTGTGCGCACGCATGTGCAAATCATCCATGATGACATCATGGCGGGTGGGTGGAGCCTCCCGCCGGTTTTACTACCGGTTCTATAGAACCGGACCGAACCAGGAGCAACCCACCATTGAGTGGAAGGAATATATTCTTAAAAATACTTTGTGTGTTATTTAACCAGTCTATACTGTATATCTAATACTTACAGAGTTCTTTTTATAATGCTTTAAAGTGGTAGTATAAAGAGGAATTCTTAGATATGTCTAATTTTGGCTGATTTAAGAATTTCCAGTTTTCACTTGTCTATATTACTAGAATCTGAAGTCTAGTTTACAACGATTTACAACAATAAAAATATAGAAATGCAGTTAAAAACACTTCTTCTTCTCCTTCTTCTTCTTCTTCTTCTTCTTCTTCTTCTTCTTCTTCTTCTTCTTCTTCCTCTTCTCTTCCTCTTCCTCTTCCTCTTCCTCTTCCTCTTCCTCTTCCTCTTCTTCTTCTTCTTCTTCTTCTTCTTCTTCTTCTTCTTCTTCCATATCCGTCACCGGACATTGGCGATCATGTTGGCAATCCTATTTTTGTCAACAGCCGTATGAAAAAGTGCTGCTGAGTTTTGTCCAAACCAGTCCCTTAGCTTTTGAAGCCATGATGTTCTTCTTCTGCCTGGACCTTGTTTGCCTTCAATCTTTCCCTGGAGGATTAAGTGAAGGATGCTGTATTTTTCTGGGTGTCGCATCACATGTCCAAAATATTCTAACTTTCACTTTTTAATGGCTTTGATTATTTCCCTTTGCTTTCCCAAGCGGCTTATCACCTTCTCATTTGTGATTTTGTTAACCCAGCTTATACATAACAGTTGTCTGTAAATCCACATTTCAAATGCTTCTAGTTTCTTCAAATGGTTTTCTGTCAGAGACCAACTCTCTACTCCGTAGAGCAGGATAGAAAAGATATAACATCTGACAAGCCTGATTTTCAGTCTTAGGCTTATGTCGTGACTGCAGAAGACCTTTTTCATTTTGAAGAATGCTGTTCGAGCTTTCTCTATCCTTGTCTTTACTTCACTGATCATGTCCCAGCTTTCATGTAAATTAAAACTAAGGTACGTGATCCTTTCAACTTTTTCTAATGGTATTCCTTCTGAATTTATCCGTGGTAAATTAATCGGTTATTTGCTGATGATCATGATCTTGGTTTTTGAGGTGTTAAGCTTCAAGCCATATTTTTCAGATATTTCTGAGACCTTTGATAAGGAGTTGAAGGTTTTCATGCTTACTGGCAAGCAGAACTGTATCATCAGCATATCTTAAATTGTTGATCTGAACACCATTTACTTTGAGGTCAGCATCAATGTTTTCCAGTGCTTCATTGAAAATTGATTCAGAGTAGATATTAAATAACAGCGGAGACAGCGGAGTACAGCCCTGTCTGACCCCTCTTCATATTTCTGCATCATCTGAGTATTTTTGGCCTAGTCTTACAGCTGACTTTGTATAAAAAAAGAACACCGCTTGGGGGGGGCCCGAAAGCCCTACTAAGCAGATATATACAAGAGTATGAAGGCTATTGCTTACCACATTGTAAGCCGCCCTGAGTCTCCGGAGAAGGGCAGCATATAAATTGAACCAATAAATAAATAAATAAATAAATAAATTTGCTACCTGATGCCAATATAGATTCTTTATGACAAAGACACTACAGAAGATTGAAATTAAAACAGCCATCCTTTGAGCCATAAGACTGGCTTTCAAAAGCCCTTTGGAATAAAGTTGCTTCAGTTGTCATTTTGTCCTAAGCCTAGACTTCTTGGTTGGCATAGGTTGGATATGTTCAGAGCAATTCATCTTCTTTGTAAAACTAGGACTAGGACTTTGTTTAACAGAATATCTTCCCAGCAGGCTACCTTTAGACCAGGGGTGAAATGTAAAATTTGTTACTACTGGTTCTGTGGGCATGGCTTGGTGGTGGGGGTAATGTGACTGGGTGGGCGTGGCCAACTTTTTTTAAAAAAAAACTTTTCAAAGCATTTTTTCTAATGCTTTGAAAAGCCTCTGCCACTCAGGAAACTCAGCTGGGTTCGTCAGAGAGGCTTTTTTAAAAATACCTCTTTGCCGATCAGGAAACACAGCTGGGATCGTCAGAGACTTTTCAAAGCATTTTTTAAATCACCTCTTCGGCCAAGAGGTTGCAGAAAAAAATGCTTTGAAAAGCCTCTGATGATTCCAGCTGAGCTGCGCGATCATCAAGGCTTTTTTTTTTACTTTTAAAAGCATTTTTTCGTCAGAAGAGGTTGTAGAAAAAATGCTTTTAAAAGTAAAAAAAAAAAAGCTTCTGATGATCCTGTGGAAGGATCAGCTGGGCATAGGGGAGGGGGGCACAGGAATTTTTGCTACCAGTTCTCCGAACCACCCGCTGCCATCGCCACCGGATCGGGCGATCCGGTCCGAACCGGTAGCATTTCACCCCTGCTTTAGATATAGTCTTTCCCTGCTATATTAGCAAGACTTTTTACATCTAAGTTCCCTTGGAAATGCACATAGCTTTACTATATATGTCCCCAAGGAAATAGTGTAAAAAAATGCTATAGGGATCTCCATTCTCCATTCTTGTAGAATGGATTGTAACTTATAATATTAATCATAAACATAGAAAACATAGCACTAGATGCATCTTACTAATGTAGCAGTGAAAGCACTATGTCTAAAGGTGGCCTGCTGGAAGGATAGTCTGTTAAACAGAAAGTCCTAATCCTAGTTTTACAAAGAAGATACATTGCTCTGAATGTATCCAACCTATGCCAAACCTTATCCAGAGAAATCTAGGCTTAGTACAAATATATAACATTTAAATATAAAGCTACTAGATGGGTTTCCTGTGTCTTGGAAAAAGAAATTTTTTGAAATACTTGCACTTTCCTGGGGGTCTTTTTCATGTCAATGCATGTATGTATGTATGTATGTATGTATGTATGTATGTATGTATGTGTTTATGTATTTAATTTATTGCTGCCCATTTTGACAAATATTAGGGTATCCTCATGTATTATAGGAAAATGGATCATTGAACTTGACTGAAGATTCCTCTTCTACCATAAACAGAGCATCCCACCCTAGTAAATATTGATATTATATTTGATTTTATCTTTGTTATTTTTTTCTCAGACATTGTTTTGGAATTCCTGCTGCTTTTTGCTTTCATAAATAGAAAGGAAGTTATGTTCCCTACCTCATACATTAGGGATTGTTACTGTTTTTCTGTCTGCCTGCTGGAGAAAATGACAGAAGCAATCTAATTTCAGGATGGCCTATATCAGTGATGTTTAACTTTTTTGGTGCCGAGTGCCAGAAGCATGCGTGTGTGTGCACGAATGCACACGTGCATGCCCCAATCCCCAAAATGCAATGCAAGTGCCCCCTGTGCATGCGCCCCGGCCCCAGTTTTGGCTTCCAGGTTGGTGCAAGAGGCTTTTCCAACCCAAAACGGGTGCGGGTGTGTGTGTGTCTCCACAGTTTCTTCCCCCCCGCCCCTCCCTGCGTGCCCAGGCTTTCTCCTCTATTTCTACCACAGAGAGGGTGGAGCTTGCAGAGATCAGGGAAGGCCCCACCCTTGCGCATGCACGGCAGGGACCCGAAGACCAGCTGGCTGGCAGGAGGCGTGCGTGCATGCGTGGTGGAACTGGGCTGGACGACGGCCGGCGTGCCCACAGAGAGGGCTCTACGTGCCACCTGTGGCACGCGTGCCATAGGTTCGCCATCACAGGCCTATATCCACTGTTGAAAAGGAACCTTTATAGTAAATCCAGTGTAGGCTTGTCCAATATTTTTAGACTTACATACACAAAGGCTCATTTATGCTGGTCGGGTGATTCCAAAGGGTAAGACACTTTATTAAATAGTTATAGCTGAGAATGATACTATGAAGCGTTTGGTAGACCAGGATGATATTCCCGTTGATAACATGTGGATTAAAGTAGTTTTTAAAACTATTTCTCACTTAGTTCATAAAGATAACCCTTTGTTTATCCTGTCACAATGGAAAAATGAGAGTTTGCTGAACATTTTTCATCACACTCCTTAGAAATATTAAGGACATAAGAAATATTACAAATGAAGGTGAATATATGTGTCCCAGGATACCAGTCTGGGTCAGTCACCACGACCAGAGTTTTGTCTTCTGAGCTTTTGGACTCATGCTGGACTCCATTTTCAGGGAACGTCTCTGTGTCCTCTGGGCTGTTCTGTGTGCATTATCTACATTTAAAAAGCTACACACAACACCCACCATATAAATACGACACACAGAACAGCCCAGAGCACACAGAGAAATTCCCTGAGGAGGGACTCTAACATGAGTCTGAAAGCTCAGAAGACAAAACCTTGGGTCCCAGTTCAGTGGTGGGTTGCCCCCGGTTCGCACCGGTTCTATAGAACCAGTAGTAAAACCGGCGGGAGGCTCCACCCACTGACCCTGACATCATCAAAATGCTTCTGTGCATGTGCAGAAGCTTCTTTGCTTGCGCAGAAGAGCACATGCGTGCTCTGTTGCAAACCAGTAGTAAAGGTAAGTAGAACCCACTCCTGTCCCAGTTACTGACCCAGATTGGATCCTGCAATAAGAAATGTTACATAGATGTTTGTATAAATACATATGCCTGATATTGGTACTGCTATATTCATTATAGTAG